ATTAATATATATACGAAAATTAATATAAATACTAGTATCTATATTCAATTGAATATTGGTACTAATTGAATGAAATTCTTATTAATACTCGCTCTAATCATAATACTAGCACTACTAATACTCAAGCTTTTCCTCAGATAAATATTAAGATTACATAAATACTAATAATGATCCTGATATAAAAAATTAAGATTTCTAAAATATTATTAGCATCAGCGAATACTAAGACTCGAGCTTCATAAATAATATCATCAATTCTATATAAGATCTATTACCAACATACGCACAGACATTATAGATAAAGCGATAAGAAAAAGTAGCATAATATTATAATTGCCTATATTTTCGAAGAAAGAATTAAATGAAATTTGAATTTTTAGAATTTTAAATTTTTAGATTTTTAGAATCGCTAGGAAATTCAAAAATATTTTTTCGATCATCCTCTCAAATATATTAAATTTTTGGATTCTTAAATTTTACAAGAACTATACTAGATTTTCTTATAAGCTAGATAAAAACGAAAAATTATAGAAACGCACGACACTCATAATATAATAATATATAAAAATATTCCTAATATCATAAAATTCGATAATCACGACGCTCAAAGAACCCCAGCTCCTAAAATACCAAGAAATTACTTAAAGTCCAAGTCGAACTAAATAAGAAAAGAAAATAAATATATTAGAGAGTTCTAAATATATATATATATAAATAAATCTAATTTTGATATAAATGAATAAATTTATATATATATATAATTTCCCAGTTATAATCATAATTATAGATAGATAATTTGAAATATAAATTCTCAAATAAATATTCATAGAATAATTATAAAAAGAATAATTCTTAATGTTCAAAAATATGTTTTATAAGATATATGATATTATTATCTGTATATAGATATATATTATATGATCGTCGAATCAAAAATATTGCTCTTCATATTGTTTATAAATCAAATTTTCTTCTAATATGGAATCTACCCTTGAGTGGGGTCGTTGTGGAAGGTTCAACCGACAAAATGCATAACCACCTGTAAACCCTCATTCCATTTGGGTTTCTTAATGGGCAAATAATCGGTGCCGCTTCCAGGAGCAGCTGCAGCTACACCCTGGCGGGGCAGTTCAGCACACTTGAGCACCAAGTCTTGGGGTTTAGGATTTAAGGTCTTCGGCACATTCACAGAGTCACTTTATTGAAAAACACTGCAGCAGGTGTCCTTCAGGAGCGTTGCATTGAATTGGCGAAGTGCCTGGGCAGGTCGAAGGAAATCAAAACCACTTGAGCGTGCTTTACCCTGTCCTCAGGCCGGAGCACCAAATTCAGCTGAATCCTTGGTAAACCCTAGATTTCCGCTGCTATCCTGAGCTCAACAATGGAGTTGACCAAGCTGCCGGCACAAGGCCTTCCGCCTTTGTCGAATCAACGATATTGGTACGGTGGCACCTTGCCAAGTAAGACGACTTGAAGCTAGCAAATCATTCGCACTCGTGCAAATCTACAGTAGATGGAAAAGTGCGCTGGAGACTGGAGATCACAGCTTCCGATCCCGGACAATTCTCAGGTGCATCAACATCATCTACCAAAGCACAGGCCTGTGCAACAGGCTGGTACAAAGGTGTAGAAAGAGGTGTCTGCATTGGAATGTACGACGGCTGCTGCGACCTGGGCGGAGGACTCTCGAATGTGACACGCAGGGCCCTGCCGAGCCGCAGATTGCAAAGCATTGCTCTAGAGACGCTTAGCTGCCGACCCGCTCGCGACACTCACGGCGGGGTACTGACCGTGCCGCAAGCTTCGAATCGCCTAGCCAGGATCGCCGGGCCAGTGTGAGAACGGCTCTCCTGGCTGCGTTGATACACGGCCTCCGCTCCGGAGGTCTCAATTTGAGAAGCCATTTGCTGCGACAAGGCCTTGGGCAAGGCTCATGGACTCTTACGCGAAGCTCGGGTGGCATGCCATGAGGTTCGTAGTATCGTTAAGATGGATTTCAGTTCTCCAGACAAGAACAAATCCGAGAAAGAGGCCCGGTACAGGATCCAAAGATCGACATTTTTCAGAGTCTTGTTTTGGGTCTGAGCACGACTTCCATTATGAGTGTGTTGAGGCTAAGCAAACCCCGAGAATGTTCCACTTGGTTCCGCTGCTCTTTGCAAAGGCCATCAACGATGCTCAAGCGACGAGTAGCTGCATGCCCACCCCGTAGTACGTCTACACCAATCGCAAGGGCCCCGACCAGCAAGGATCCGTCACCAGCCGGCACCGGCGCCACTGACATTACTTGCGCTCCGGATGCAACCTGTGCACCAGGCCTGAAAAAAGGCAACATTCAATCTGCCGATCTTTCCCACGTACAAGGTGATGAAAATGGAGCGAATGCTGCAGCCGAGGAACATCCCAATGCTTCCCTGGTAGCCCTGCAAGCTGGTGCCGGCCGTGGGACTTCCGGAGTACACATTTGGCAGCTGCACCCTCAGCAAATCTAGCACGGTGTGGAGCCAAACATACTAAAACCTTCTTCTAGCCCGGGTCTGCGGAAATCCGAGGAAGCGACGCTGCTCTGTTGTTGCTCTGCAGAGGAAGGGAGTACTGCTGGACGGGAACCGGCGAAGGAACCGGAACCACTTGGGGCCTTGGGCAGACTTCGCATACGCGGCTGCACGAAATCTTTGGCATCTTGGCCTCGCGAGCCCCTCCGCATGCTGAAAAGCTGAGGAAACTCTGAAGTCTGTGGTTTGCTTTCCTTTGCTTTTATCTCCTCCCCCGAATGGGCCTGGGCCCTGTGCTTGCTCACATTCTGGGAGCAACCTGAGGCTATGCTGCCTCACTACGGCGTGAGAAATGCTCTGCGTGGCGTCATATAGCTAGACGGCCAGGTCCCAGAGTCCCAGGTGTATCCAGGCTGGAGGGAGCATCAAAGCTTTATGTGTGAATTGCCTGGATTGTCTGTGTTTTCCTGTTGGGCCTGAGGTTCATGAGGCGGATTGGGGTGCACGCTACAGAGCTGTTCGAAGACAGCCAGCAGCAATCTACAAGCTTCTTGTACAAATGGACCATGTAGGTAGCCGACACAGCTGGTATGGCGGGACCTCCTGAGACACGAATCTGGTGTCTGAAGCTCACAAATCCACTTCGCAAGCAAAGGCTTGCACGTGTCTGGCTAATGACCCGCTGGTGTCTCGGCCTAAGCGCTGCACAACCACTCTCATGCCAGAGGTGCTGCACACCACCTGTTCCGAGGCTGCTGCAACGAGGACCCTGCAAACCTCACAGGCAAAAGGCGCTTGCAGGCGGGTTCAAGGTGCGCACATGTCAATGTTCCTGAAGATAACAACAGCATTCGTCTGTTCGACTGTCTCTCTGTAGCTACGCTTAACGTACCTGCGATGCACAAGAACTAAACCTTTCCGATAAGTTGCAAACTCGGGTGAGCTGTCGGCCAGTTTGGGGGCAGCGTCGAGAGGTCGATTCCATGGGCTGTACAATCTGCTGTGGCCCCAGCTGTTGCATATCGGGCATCTGTATGTCTACATCCGTCGGCAGGGTTGGCAAATCCTGCCTGAGCTGTGCAGTGAGCATCCGAAATCGGAACACAAATCCGTTCTTGGGCGTCCAACACATCTCTGACAATTCGTGGCTTGTCCTCAGTCCAGATCCAGTGACATCAGCAAAATCCAGTAACAAAACGAATACAGCTGAGCAGGATTCCGACATCGCCCAGCTCCCATCTCCAGCTCGCCTGAGCACTTCGGGCACACATGGCACACACAAGCTGAGAGATGTCTCACAATGCCTTGCCGACTGTCTTGCTTAAGGTCTCCGCATGGGTATGGGTGGCATAGGCGCCATGGGAGGCGGCATGGCTTGCTGTTTCAGGGGCTGCATCTCGGCCATGTCTCCCTGATAACATCAGGAAGCACATCGAACGGCAAGCTTCCGATGTAGTCCTCGCCTTGAGGCTGATGTCATCTTCCTCCTCCTGAGCGGAAAGTGTGCCCATGTGCCTAATCCTGTGCAAAAGCATTACATGAGTGCAGTTGATCAGCAAGCAGCTAAGACTGGCACCCAACGGTTCGACTTCCGCATCTGATCAATGGTCTGTTCTCTCAGAACCATCTGCGCTGGGTCCAAGTAGAGCTTAACAGCAGTTAAGGCTGCGGCACTCGGAGTCCGCTTAGGCATGCGAAACCACCTCTCAGGCCCCATTTCTACACCCGTGAAGCCGCAAGCCTCAAGTCCTCTTATACTGTTCCCCACCTCACCAAGCAGAGGACGCAAAGAGCCACACACGCGGCGACGATGAGCCACGGCCACCTTTGCGAAAGACCGAGAGAGTCTCTGGCGATCTGTACCAGGACTTCTGGCCAATTCGTGTGGGAACTGCATTGATTCTGTTCAAAGCAGCTCAACAGCCGAAGCCCTGAGGAGCCAAGGAGCCAATGTGGCATGTTTCTTCTGATGTTGCTCCGGGCTTCGGCTTTCAAAGCCAAGTGGGGAATGAGGAAGCCAGAGATCGAGAACGTTCACCACTGAGAATCTGGCCAGAGCAGGCCACCTGGTCAGAATGCGAAACCCTTCGAAAAACACAACCGGGCACGACAGGCCATTGTACCTGCGCACTTCTGTCGGAACTCCAGAATTCTTGCAGTGTTGCGGAAAGGCGTTCCGGGAATACCAGATGCTTGGTTTTGGGCCTAGGAGGGCTTGGCAAACAGAGCATCCTTCAACACATGGCGTAGCCCAAATCGGCACCTGCGGTTACAGCTGCTGCTTCGCCGAAGGGCTGATCCAGTTTCCTCGCGTGTGAGAGAAGCCGGTGTGACCCGAAAATCCGGGCGGTCAGAAACTGGAAGCAGCGAGCCTGACTGTGACGGAGCCAAGATCCAGGTACGGATCGTTCTTGTACCAGTTTCTTGTAGCCATTTGCTGGATGATAGGAATTTCACAACCTGCTTCGATGCTGGCATGTTCAGACCAGAAGCAAAAGCTACCGCTTGGTCGAGCAAGTTTCTCTTCAGCCCCGCACTGCTTGCATAGCAGTTCTGATATAGACCAGCAACCTCGCTGGCAAACTGTTCCGAAAAGTGAAGAAATCTGACAACCCCTTTTGTCAGGCCGAGGCGGTCTTCTCTGCCAAAGCTGTCCTCAGGACCGCGAGGAGCAACATTCCAACATTCGAGGACAGGCGCTGTGTCTGCGGCCCCTCTCTGGTGGAGCCGGGATTTCGGATCATGTCCTAAGAAATTACGATGTTATTCCGGGCTGGTCCACGATTGACTGTCGAGTTCAGTAAGTCCACTTCTCACGCTGATGCATTTCAGAAACGCTCTAAGGCCCTGTCCAAATAATACACACGCCCATGTGACCCGTCCTCGGGGATCAGCATGCCAAAAACACACTTGAGCTGAGCAATCGCTATTGAGGGCGCAACAACTTGGGTGCTTTCACACAAGTTCACGAAATTGTCGTAGTTGGACCACTGCATCTGTCCAGGGGTATCGTCGAATTGTCCAGAGCAGTGCAACACAGCAAGGTGCAAAAACCGCAGAAGCTCAGAAACAGGAGACGCTTCAACATCGCAGAAACGTGCGCTGCCATGCAGAGCATCTACTATGCAGAAGCACCTAGTGTGCGACACTACGCCACCGAGCAAATCATGCAACGGCAAACGGGTGCGTGCAACAGCGCTTTTGACAGAAATTCGTCGCCGACGCATGTGGGTTTCCAGGAACGCTCGTACAGAACCAGAAGCTTGCAGAAGGGCAACGGCAACGACCGGAAGCCTACTTATCCATAGGCGCGAGTGTATGCACGGCCGCACATTCAGAACATCAGACATGATCTCAGCCTGTAGTTCAGACTTTCTACAAGCCAGAATGGTGCTACGCAGAAGGAGTTCAAGTAAAAAGATATAGAACCAAATGGACATGGCTCATGGTGCCGTCACAAAACCCCCCATAGTGTGACTCCCATGCACGCGCGATCACACGCGGTCCTATGCTCCCCAATATTGACTGTCGCTGAAGCTCTGGCCAAAGGGGTTTTGGGCTCAGCACTTGGGGTTCCTGGCTTGAGCTTGGTGTAACCAGTTGAAGGCTTCAGGTCAAGGTCTATGTTTCCACTGCAACTTGCTGTGGTTGTCGTTTTAAGTCTCTTTGGTTTCTGCTGGATGTTAGAGCGTGCACCCGCAGTCAACTTTTCAGTGGCTTGTCAGCTCTTGTTTGCTCGCTTCCAGCTCCATGCCAAGGCACGCACACGACAGTCTGCATGAATTCGCACACGAGATTCAGCCCTCTGAGTGACAACAGCAAATCCGGCAAGCCTGACAGTTGCATGATTCACTGGAGTTCACGCAGGCGGTGCAACTCAGCTTCGGATTGGTACAGAATCTGCACTTCCACTGCATGACTCCAAGCTGAGAATGCGACTGCGGGCCGGGTGCGACTTTCCTTCCATGCAGTACATCCTGGAGGATTCGGCCAGCGGCAGCCCAGAGAGGTTGTGTTCAGAGGGACTTCGAGTGGGGATGACCATGCGACACCTGAAACCCTAAGCTTGCTGACCGCAGACCTTCCTACTCGGAGGCTCTCAGGTTTAGGCTCTCCTTCCCGAGAATGTCGCCAAACTGTTTCTCGAACTGAATGCACGAAGGCGGCTGCGACTGGCACGAATGAAACAGTCGCAGAGTCGACACGAGGCTGGAAATTTGCCACAATTGATGCATCGTGTTCAAACGATCCCAAGGAGACTCTGGACTCTACACTTCCGTGCACCTGCGCAGGCGGCTTGAGACAGTGATCCAAAGCCTCTGGCTAAGGCCACATCCATGCCAACCGCAAGAACTAGCAACTGGTACAGTGGAAAGAACATGTTCCGAGTCTCCCGGCCGCTGCTCCCGGCGCTTGCCACATAGAATCCTCTGAACGTACCGAAGTTGAAGAACCGAAAAGTCATCAGGACAGGTCTGGAGCTGGTGGGCAGCTTTCCTCTGGTTTTCATACGCTCGACGTTTTGTGAACTGGCTGTAGAAGCTGTAATGTCTGCGCCGAGGCTAAGCCGAGATGCACTATTCGTGCCCTCTGGATGTGCTAGGTTGATGTAGTGATCTCACCCTCCGTGTGCAGTTCAGGAGTTGGTTGCGGCACTAAGCGCGTGCCGCCCTGTCTCCTCCCGGTCGAGCTATCTTCAGACGACGTGATTTGGCGCTTGGAAGCTTTCGTTCCCCGTCATTGTCCAGAGGACTCAAGCGATCGGAACTGCGAGAAGGCTGCATCAAAACATCGCAATGCATCCCGTCATTGCCAGAACATGAACAATCATGAAGCCCGCCTGACAGCCAGAAGCCACATGCTGCCTGATCGCATCGATGCTGTCCTCAACAGCAGCTCATGCTTCTCCTAGAATAGCAGTGCATCCTATTTGATGCGGACAGCACCACAAGACTCTGGGTCAAGAACCTGTTTCAGCAAGGTAAGGATTCCTGGCAGTTGGTGGCCCGCAGCCGCACAAATTGGGAACGTGAACGCCGCAAGCAGGCAACACCTGTTCTGTTCGCAGCATCGACCAAGTGCGACAGCGGGATGACGAAGAGCATGTTCTGCAGGGAATACAGTGCAATCGGCACATCATGGCATAACCGGCATAGCCGCATCGAAGATACACGTGTTTTGGCCGTAGCGACACGAGGCTGCTTCAGTCTCAAAGGAAAGATGCTTGTAAACTTTCCGCTCTCGGTTGAAGCGACAGATCGATGGCTTCTGGAAAATGCTTGCAGCAACCAATGCGGTCAGTCGTGCCTTTCCAGGGTTCGCCGCCATTGCTTGCTTGATGCCGAAATTCAAATTGTCGTTCCTGTGTAAGATTCGATGGAGAAGGGGTGGCAAAGGATGATAGAGTCATGCTGGAGATCCCACCTGTACTGAAGGTGTCTCTGGCTGGCCAATGGCAGATCCTGCGAATATCAGCCAGGCAGAAGCATAACACAAGAAGCCGTGTCAAGGAACCGCATTCCCCCGCCGAACCCATCATGAACTCCTCCCTTGACTGATTCAAGCTCGTTTGCACTCAAAATCCTTCCGACACGTCACAGGTTTTAGCCGAACTAGATAGTTGCTGCACGCGCCATTCTACCGCGGTTAAAGATGACTATGCTCTAGGGCCAGCAACCCGTTGCCTGTTCTTGCCAAGCGAACAAACAGCACAGCGGGAAGCATGTAGCTTTTAGGTAAAGAAAATTGCTTACCCACCCACACACCACCCACCCGCCCACCCAAGCAAACAAAACAAACAAACAAACAAGCAAACAACAAACAAACAAACACACACACACAAACAAACAAACAAACAAACAAACAAACAAACAAACGAACAAACAAACACGCAGGCACGCACGCACGTACGCACGCACGCACGCATGCACGCACGCACCGGCAAGTAGGCATACTTCGACTAAGAAATAACTAGATGGAAGACAAATTGACCTGCGAAGGCAATGTGGTATGCTAAGAAAGACTGTTACACACAGCACTTCATAAAGACAATGACTTTTCAAGGTATGCGACATCCGGCAAGGTGCGCAATGAGGCCCAGCCCGACCAGCACCGTCCGTGTGAAAACTGGGCATCGTGACTTCAACGGTTGGTTCACCCTGGGCCCAGGCCTAGCTGCTTGGCATAGTCTTGGACTCGTCCCCAGTGAATGTCGTTTAAGTTCTTCCTTGAACTTCTGTGACCGAAAAGGTTGAAGTACTGAGGTGAATACGCTTGGCCAATCCCTGCAAATATGCGAATGCACGTGCACAAGCGACACAAGGCGGCGCGCCATCCATCTTGCATGTGCAAACGAGGGCATCTAACATCAAGGCCGCACCTTCAGCTCGACCAGTAATTCGTCCAGCTTCCCCAAATTGCCACATTTGAAGGCTTCGTACATACCTCCCTGCCGAGGAACATTTCATGGCGAGGAACAGGACACATCAGCCTCTGCGCTTCCGAGACAGCCCAACGAACCCACCTCGATGGCGCTCACCTTTTTCGCCCACTCCGGTGTGAGGTGCACAGCCATCCACCTCAACAGACGACAGAGGGAATGGAGCTGACCTGCCGCGATGTGTCCGGAGGCACTCTGCAAGTTCTTCGTCTTCCTGCACGGTGTGCCCTTGAAATGCCTCGCAACGGACGCGAGCTACTCGAGCTATGGAAATGGAGGCACCGGGCCTGGCACTCGACGCTGATGTCCTCGAGGCCTTCATGCCAAAAGCGGTTGCGGAGAGACGATCTCAAGGCTCTTGAGTCCCCCACCAAAAATCGGCTTGCGTGTTCCCCATTTTCGTCGAAAGTAAGTGTCCAAGTTCGGCTGACCTGCGGAGCACTTCATGCTTACTTCCTGTATCTTACCTTTGTGTGCCACAAGTCAGCTGAAGTTCAACACGCACCACACATTGGTGCAAAAAACGAGCGCATATGCCAGCAGAGCCTGTAGAAGTGCACCAGTTGGGGTTGATGGCCTGCAGTCCTGGCGAAGGAAGTGTTGAAGTTGGTTTACCCTGCTTGTTCGTCTGCATTGCTTTCGTCAATGCGGCCATGGAAACTGAAACTGACTGTGTTGCACGAGCGCCTTCGTAAAAGACTTTGAGCAAAGTCTTACGGAAGGTTGCATTCGTCATTGTCGCTATAGACCTGGGTGCGTCCAAAAGGAGCTTGCACAGCCAGATACTGTAAGCATGTGCCAAACCCAGAATCAACTGAGTCCAGCTCTGCTTAAATGATGTGGCCAGAGTTGAACCTCGGCACTGCTCCACGAGATCAGGAAGCCGATCCAAGCGTTCCTGAAGCGTCGCTTGCAAGCTCAAGGCACAGCTGGTACACTTAGACCGTACGCAGCTTCAGCATCGTGGCTCCTTGACGGTCTCAAGCGTTGATGGTGGAACTCTCTCGGAAATCGTATCCTCCACACGTGACTGCATTGTCTCTGTCAATGCAAAAAATGCCTTCCAGTCGTCGTGTTACTACGACAACAAGGCTGCCGAAAGCGATGCACTTCGCTCCTTTTCCCTTATGACGGGGTAGTACGAGCAGTGGGCCTGTCTCGACTCTCTCTCTCTCGCAAACCGTGCAGTGGTGGCAGCATGAAGCACGCCAAGCAAGACCATGAAATTTCCGACACCAGTCACATTGCTGGTGTCGGCCTCAGCAGCCATGCAAGTCGAGATGCATTTCAGGAAGACCATGCATGCGGCATATTGAGACAGGTACCAAAGAGCATCCAGTTGGGAAGTAAGCAACATCAGCACATGATAATGCCTGCCAGGAATGAAAGTCGTGGCACTGTCACTGTCCGCGATTTGAGAACTGCGCTGAGCTCCTCCGAAAGAGGTCCACCCTGCAGAGGTGCTGCCGACTCCGGCAAGTTGTACTCTCCAACCTAGTGTTCCAGATTTGGGCGAACATGAACCATGCAAAAAAACTCCTCTACGACAGGTCCAGCGTCCAAAGAACAATCCCTCAAGGCTGCCGGCTATGAAGACCGCACGCTTGGCAGGGGGAACGCCCTGGTGCCAGCTTCGTACTCTATTAGCTCTAGTATCCCAAACAAGGGAAGCACTTTGAGCCAGGACAAAGGGGACCTCCATGAACTTCCAGACCAGCGGAACCGAGGTGCACTCTGCCTCGGATGCATCTGGCCTGCTCAGGGGGTTCGGAATGGTTCCAGCTTCGATGGGCTGGCCGGCAAAGGTGCCATGCCTGGAACCAAGCACCAGCCAAAAGATCCATGCCTTTCTCAGGGCATTCCAATTGATTTCTATACACCTGGGCCATCCTAAGTCTGGTTGCCTGTCGCGGCGTGCATGTCTCCAGTGCGCATACTTCACGATCAGGCTTCACAAGAGCTGCTGCATTGCCAATTCATGGAGGGTTCTGTCAGCTTTAGGGTGTAATTGCAGCAGCTTCGCTTCCTTGTCTTTTTCACAGCTGTGCGCTGTGGTGCAGACCAAGATCTTAGTCGTGAAAACACTTGAGCATCTTGAGATCATTTGGAACTTATTGAAGGTCCGGGCCCCGGACTTGTCCACAGTTGTCAGTTTCGAGAGACACAACGGGTGATAAAAAGATGTTGCCAACGGTTCTGGTCTGTTTTCTACCTGACTCCGAGCTGGTTCGCAGACAATGTCTCGCAAAGCCCCGCTACAGACAGCTGAGAGCTGCTGCTAGGGTTTAGGCTTCCCGGGAAGGCTGGACTCCTTGTCCGTTCCTCTTCCCAGCTTCGGACAGCGGAGAAGAGCAGTTTTGAGCGACGCAACAACTGAAAATACAGAGAGGGACACTTCCAGCCTGGTGCGCCCGACGTATCGCCCAACACCGAGACATGGCAGCAACAAATACTCAAAGTTGTTGATGTTTTCTTGTTGCTGTTGGTGTTGCCGTTGTTGTTGCTGCTGCTGCTGCTGTAGCCCCCTGTTGTTGTCATGATTGTCGTGGTGGCTGTTGCTGAAGCTGTTGCTGTGGCTGTTGGTGTGCGTATTGGGATGTTGAAAACTTTTTCTTTTGTTTTCGGCGCACTTGGGCGTCAGGATTTCATGCTGATACTGCCTCCACGAAATGGGATCACTGCAAAGGATCACACTCTTCAAGGGCATTCCTGCACTGTCGAAGCTGCCGGTCCAGCATTAGCTTGATAAGCTCAGGATGCTGCAAGCGAGCAAACATCTGCCTGAATCCTACCACCACAACTCTGCAGTCAAATGCATCCGATCTACACCCATCACCAAGCACAAGCACTCCGCGTTTTGCAGCTGCGGTCTGTCGCTTGACTCTTCGCATCCTCCGCGAATTCAGGATCGGAGTTGTTTCGAAGTGCCAACAGTTTGTAGCCTTGCGTTTTGAGCTCAAAAACGGTAACAACTCCTAGCATCCATGATAGCTCCGGGCCGAGCATGTGGAAAATGCCTTCTGTGACGTTTCTGCAAACTACTGCCTCCGCAAAGCATCTGCTTTGCAGTGCCTGAAAGCAGCAATCGCATTAGCTGGGCGGGAAGACTCACCAGTCTCCTGATGACTCTTGCCACCCCATGGTTCATTTTCGAACATCGCATGGGCTGTCCATGATAAGCAAGCCAAATGCCTTGTGCGACTGACATGTCTCGTTTTGCTTCAGCACGCGAGACAGCATGCGTGCGATGGAATCACCTGCTCTATCCGTTGGTCGCCTGTGCTTCCATGATAAGATGAGGCTTGGAGGCGCATCCTTTGACAGCTGACTGCTGCTACAGCGTTTCGAGGACATGACAAGGACATCTACACATAGATGGAGACGACTGTATCTAAAACACCTCCAAGGGAGAAGTGAGACCTTGTGTTGCATTAGCGAATATTTAGGCTACAGCGGAGTTGCCAAGCCATCTACGGCAACCCAGCGAGAGACATCTGGTGGCAGGCCGCGCATCGATCCGCAGAGACCTTGTTGCGCTTTCCAGCTAGCATAGACACTCCTTCACATGCGATCCTGGCCGACATGCTCTGCCAGTGCAGCACGTGAACGCAGCACATGAGCCTCACCTTTACCGCCTACTGTATTCAGAATGATTCATACCCATTGCATGCATCCGCTCGCAACACACGAGGAGCTGACTGAAGCTCGTCCGGTGGTTGACGACTCCTGACAACAGCTGTCAGCTTGAAGGACGTGATCGCTTTGCACAATCACGCTGTCCTCTTCCGTGATGGGAGACACTGGCAGTGATTGAACACGCCTGCCTCGTAGGATTTTGATTTCAGAATGCTTGGGGCAGGGCCAGGCTAGAAGCCACAGAGAAGACTGAGAAGCCGGCATGGGTCTCCAGGTGGCCACACTCACCTGCAGAACACACTTCCAGTTCTTTTCAGTGCGGTAGACTTTAACTATGCTCGAATCCGGGCGAGAGCCAGTGAAGGGCTTTCTTACACCCTTCTTTCAAACTCCCCACTCTTCTTCGATCTTATACAGCACCAAAAAAAGAAGCTGATTTTCCACATCCATGCCCCCACCCACACGCGCAGAATTCCTGTGTGGGCGGATGTGTCAGCCTTTAGGGCCTCCGCTGGAACGCATCGTTGGGGGAGGGCTGTCGAAATCGATGTCGGTTTTTCCACACGGCTTTGAGGCTCAGTCTGGCATCAGTGGGCGAGAATGTGGGCGAGAGTCCAGATCACGCGAAAACGTGCTTGCGGCGGAAGGGAAACTCTATGATGCTCATCATGCTGACGCTGCGGGGCCTACAGTGCACCAGGCGCGGGAACGGTGGTAAGCAGATCAACGGCAGAAGCAGAAGCCAGTACACTGTTCTCAAGGCGAGTTTCGAGCCGTCAGCCCCACCGTCCCCGGCATTGTCGATGCAACTCGACCGGTGCCGATCGCGTAAATCCGACTCAGCATTGTGGAAAGTCATCTCACTTCAACAGCTCCGTACTAGCAGCAAAAGACACGTCGTTCTCGGCCTCGCGTCGAGGAATTGGGCTTGCCGGTGCAAGGACTGTCTTGTATGGCCTGGTGACGAGAAGCACGGACACTTGCGGATGCAGATGCTGTTCTGCAGCTGTAGAACATAGAATCAACAAGGAATCTGAGAGAAGCACGTCTGCTTCATCAGCGGCGGAGTCACCACTGGCGCGGGCACTACCGCCGGCGCGGCCACGAATGAAGGCACCGAGGGCTGGCATCAAGAATTCGACGAGTTTATCCAACGGCTGCTCTTTCAGTTGTACAGGCACCCTGCTCTTGTGGAACCCGACAGGCCGCTGAGGCTCGGACCAGTGATGGTCTCCAAATCGGTCTCGGCTGGAAGGACGGGGGACCCTGCGACAGGCCTTGCAAACGAGAGTCAAGCTGCACATTAGAGTCATTAGAGTCCAGGAAGTCGCTCAAGCCGTGATCAAATGAATTTGTTTTGGCACCCCGCCTGGAGAAAAGCATTGCACAACCTTAGCATCTTTGACAATGCTGTTGAACCCTAGGCGCTGGAACGACACTGTCCGACGTTCCCACTGAGCCAAGGTCTCGAGGGTAAGCTCCACCTCGAGCGCTGAGCCCGGCATACCCGGCCTCAGAAAACAGCTGCTTCGGACGGGCGTCGGCGCTGACACTGGGCTTTCTGAGAGAGGAACACTCGGTAGGTCTTGTGCTGGCTGAGTCTCGCAGCTTGATGCCTGAACTTGCCTCGAGTCGGAAGATGGCAGCGGGGCTTGAAAACCCTCGTCGATCGCACTAACAGGCCCTATCCCGGACCAACAGTTTCAGACCATTGCTAGTGACCACTGCAAGCGCCATTCTGAGGCGAGCACCCTGTTTGTGAAAGCATGTTACCCGGACTCTTGTACAGACCGATGAGGTCCCGTACCTGTGGTGCAGGTCATGCAGGCAGTCCCCCTGTCGGCGGGTGAAGAACGCGAATAAAGACTGCACTAGCATGTAGGCTGGCATTAGTACAGTGCGGTCGATATGTACCGAGGTCAGGGTTGTTAGATTGGCGGAGCAGGTCTGCGGACTTCAAAATTCGAGGGATGTAGTGGCGGCGTGGAGGCTGCGGGTTTACGGCCTTGGAAATGTGGGTTTGAAGGCTTGTACAGGCATTTCATGCCCTCCCAAATCCCCCCATCCTAAACATACACGTGTCGCACATTACGTAACTGGTTGCACAATATGTGGGGCACTGCATCATCCGGAAGTTGTCTTGAGCGCTTCTCTTGTGGAACGGCCTCGCCGATGGCGAGAGCAGACTGAAGACTAGACATGAGAAGACGTGTTAACCCGACGGACAGCCTCGACCTTCATGAGCGGCTCCGCTGGCCGTGAGTCCGGAGATCTCCCTCTTGTGGGTGCCTGCTTCGAAGGGGTTCGTCCCACAACTTCTGCCTCAGAATGCATCTGAAGTTGAGAAAGCCTCGTAGAGCGCTGTCCGTGCTCCCAGCCTGAGCTTCTCCAGCACACTCACAGCAGCCCACCAGCCCGACCCCGCCCAAAGTGCTTGGCTTGAATTCCGCTTGGACTCTGACACTTTCAGAAACTCTGCAGGCGGTCTACGCTGGCAAAGCCTGAAGCCCTCCTGAGCCATCTTGAAGCTGACGGAATCTGCAGAAGTACCATGCGCAGAAGCCCGAGGGAGCCTGAATGATCTCCGCAATGGCTGGGCCGTCGTCAACCAGCCTTGACAGCAAAAAGAACAAAAATGCCTCTTCCCTGAAAATCTCCGAGTCATGAAGCTTCTTCTCTGCATCAGGCCCAGGCCCACCGACCCAAGTACCACCGCGAGTTTGCTTTGAGGTGCCACCAGGGAGGCGACGCTTGTAGTCCACCCCTGGACAGCAAAGTCTCTTCTCCGCGTTCTTCAATGGTGTGGTTTGAGCTTCTTGCCACTTCCATAAGCAACTTCATTCAAGCGAACTCCCCACCTCACCATGGGCATAGGAATTTCTGGATGATAAAGCGCTCGAGACACAACGTCACGTTCAGCTTTCGCTTTCTGCTAGGTTCGCAACTCTTCGCTGCCGACAAAGAAGTCGGATCCTCATTCTTGTGATCGTCACTATGCCAACACGAAACATAGCGCAAGGACCATGCACGAGTCACTTGCACGACGTCTGGGACTTCTGCGCAAGAATGGTGCGCCAACAGCTGTGGCAATGTTCTCAGCTGCAGCCGACCTGCTGGACGCACACCAGGTGCCCACAGCTACTTCAGCTTCGAGACATGTTGGGGATAAAGAGAAAAATGCAATAGTTGGGGGAGAGGATGCTTCGAGGGATCCCAAGCACATAGGCGCAAAAATGCTTCTGGGACCACTATGATTTGTGTTGCATTTTTGGGTTGAAATTCCAATGTGTGCTAGCTTGGGCAAACAAACATCAAGCACTCATCAAGCAAACACACGCGAGGACATCACGATGACAGTACCTATCAACGAGTCTGTGTTGAGGTCAAGACATGGCCGGCATCGCTTCGCGAAAGAGCTTCAGCGACACCTACGACATGGGTGAACTAAACAGTCGAAACAGATCTGCGGATGGAGGGTGCCTCGAAGCCACGGTTCTGACCTCCGTGCTCGTGGATCACCTGATGGAGGCAGAGGCCAGCGCAACTTTTGCCTCCGTCTCAAACTGCGCTGTCCGACACTTGCTATCAAAAATGATTCGTACGTGCGGTTCGCGGGGCTGCTTGTTCGCGAGAGACCTGGCTTATCCTGGCCTTGTGAAATCATGAAAAGCCTACTCCAGACCAGATGCCCAAAAAGTATGCCAAGGACTCATTGCGTAACCCATCAGGCAACACGACACTGGTGATCTTGGTGCATGTGGAGCAGGCACCAGGCCAGACTCAGCTCTCTGCTTGTGAGTTAGACATCATCTCAACAAGACAGCTGGCTGTACCAATGCAACCTTGCTTTGCCTCGGCTAAGATGTCCCTTGCCTGCTTCTGTAACCGACCCGCCCTCACCCCACGCCTCCCAGCCATCGTCGTCTGAAAGTTGACCAGAGATTTTCGGCACCCGCACCTCGAAGGTGGGTCGGAAACGGATGTGTCGCAACATCTTGATCATATTATCCTTTTCGATCTCTGCAGGAAACTGCCGGCTGTCAACTGCACAAGTAGCTCGAAGGAGTGGCACAAGCGCTCTTGGTGCCACAAGGGCCAGACCAGCCAAGTGGTTCTCTTCCCTTTCGGATCTGCGACGCGGCCCCACCTGAAGTCAAGCTGGATCGCCAGCTCAACCAGGGCAAACATTCGCTGAGCTCCAAACCACCAAATTCCCACGCGAGCCTGCAAGCAATGCGCGCACTGCGAGGTCTGCACGGCTTGTCAACAGCAACCTGCTGCTTAGCTGTGAGGATAGTTCAGCTGTACAGGCTCAATGGATTTCGCACCCTTTATAACCGACCAACGACAAATTCACCTGTCTCGCTTGGGTTCGCGCCTTGCCCCAGATAGTTACAACTCGCAGCTCGAGCGGAAAATTGAAGCCGACAGACGAGCGGTATCGCCTTAGCAACGCATGCTCCGAACCACTTGCGAACGGCCTCTTGGAAGGTTCTGTGGGCCCTGCGGCTGGATAACAAAACCGGGAACCAGCGACTTGAGAGCCTTGCCGAACTGAGGGTGTTGGTCATGAAGCCGGTCTCTCTTCGCCGACAAGCACACTGACCGATGACCATTCGACATGCGACAGCATACGACAGGTTTTGCGGCAGCAGCAGTGCTTGCGAGCGTTTGGTCTAACTCTGAGGTGGCACACATGGGCTCCGACAAGCATCTGACACAAATCACGACCATGAAATGTGCGTTTAGCATCATGGATGCATTGACGAGGCGAACCCAAAAGCTAATCTGCAAAGATAGACTTTGCTTCGACATCTGTGGCGAGCAGCACCACTCCGAAAGCCGAAGCCACAGCTCCTCATACAATACCCTTCTGTTGCCGGACCGACTCGCCACGACGAGAACTTGCATCATCACAAATGCCACCATGTACATAAAAACACACAAACCCGCTTTTGCTGCCCGCATTCAGCAGCTGCATCTATCTGGAACAAATATGCTTCTGGATGCTGAAGTCTAGAGTCTGGAGGTCGGTGTGTTCTCTACCATCATTTACTACACTATAACCTGTTTGTCAACGGATCGGGTCTGGTTGGGCCATGCTACAAAACTTCTGGGGGTATGTTGCAACACGTCTCATTGCAGCTCCGGTGAGCGCTTCGCTACCGCTCCCGCTACACTGCTCCGTCTCTACGTTACTGCCCAGGACGTAGTGCTCATAGTAGAGGCTCCCGAAACATGGTAGAGGACACCCCCAAATTCCAGGGCAATCCATTTTAATTGTCTGAAGCAATGATATCGACACCGCTTCCGCAACGAAGCATATGCCTACCACACCGTTTTCTATACCGAATGGTAGCTCTGCACATCATGTTCGTGGATCATTAGCTAGTGAACTTGAGAAGCGGTAGAGCAAGGGAGCTGGTCGGAGAGTCCAACCTGCACTCTTGCATATGATCACCAATGGATGTTGAAGCCACAAAACTGTGATTTCGTGGCACAAGTCATCGAGAGCATTGGTGGCTGACGTGTCGTACCTCGCAAGCGCTTGTGTGTGTTGGGATGGCAACTGTTTTGCATAGTGGTTGGATCCGCTGCTTCCTTTTGTCAGAGCGCCCATGTGCTCGTTATCGTGGGTGCAGGTATCCCGGTCTCCCGTATGGCTGTTGTGGTGGGCTAGGGGTGGACACAGTGCCTTGGTCGGTTGATTTCGCTTGGTTTCGCCGGGCGTGCACAGCACCTATTTACCTCTCGCGGTGTCGAGTCTGAGCATCGCACCTCGCTCTCGCTGTCGGCTGCCTTCTTCTCTAAGAAAGTCTCCATGTGCTCAATGAGCTTCGGAGCAGTCCACTGCTCCTGCGCAGACCACTGACTCCAACTGCGGAGCTGCGCGGCGGCCCCCTCCACTTCTGGGCCTTGTCCCACTTGGGCTTTGACATAATCACAGCACCCGTTGCGCTGCTAAGATGAGTCCTTGACAAACTGTCCGCAGCAAACTACACCAAGCAAATTCGAAGCTGGAGATTTGGCAGCGAAAGCTGAGCCGCGAGCGGCTTGACGACGACGTCGTAGGCATCCGGATCACTGCTCTGTGTCCAGGTTTCAACAAGCTTTTCGACCTCATAGCGTACACACAGAATCAAACATGCAGGCACGTTTCGATTTGTCTAGCTGTTCCCAGCTCACCTCCGCCTTGTTCACTTTCGTGTACGTAGAGAGCAGCCTCATGCGGGCAATTGGAGTGACATGCAAAGGGCTACTCAGAAGGGCATGCTGGGGCCCCAGCACTGGCATCTGCGGAACACCAAGATTCTCCAACAGCTTGCTCAAGATAATTTTGTCTCCCAGTGCCTCGAGGAAACCACACAGGCAAGGGCCAAGTGCGATTGAAACATGATCGGCCTGTATGGTTCCCTTTCCACCGCTGTTTGCCTGAGCGTAAGACGCATGAACAAATGCTAGACAGACAGCAGCGACCACAACGACCAATCTGTAGCACAGGAAGGACTGCGCCAAGTTATAAGATCTTCTGCCAGCCTTCATAACGTTCATCAACTCCGTAATGCTTCTCTTCCGGTCCGCCTGGCCACAGCCCCATGATTGGTTTGCAACACATAGCATGGTGCTAATGCCCATTGCAGGCTAATCTCATTATCCATCGAGATACCTCTCCAAGCCTATCTGCCACCTGTCCATGTAGCAAGCGAAATGTATGCACATTTCATACATATACACACTGCACACACCGCGCAGACACAATCCAATCTCAAGCCGGCGTGACGAGCAACGGTCCCACATCGAAGTCTGTGTTAATAACAAAATTTCGGGCCTGAAACTAGCTGCAGCTCTGACCTGTGCAACATGAAGCATTATCTTGTACTGAGTCCGCAACAGCAGACAACCACGCCATCATTTCGCTGCGTGGCAATAATGTGACTGGCTGCTGGACGCTCCTTAGATACTTGCTTGTGCCTTGTCTTGTCAGGCTTCAACTGCTACGTGATTGCGGTCCATGGGGATCGCAACGACAACCCAAGATGGCAAGATCTGAAGGCAACAACCAAACCTGGTCTGCATTGAACCATTGCCGCAGTCTCTGCTGGCACAGAGGCTTGCTTAACACATGCTCCTCTTTCGGCAGATCATCGAACATATTCGAGGCGAGTGTCATTCTTGGCGCTGCAATCGGCTTTATTGGTGCTTGTGGGGATAACGGAACATGTGATGCATGCCTCAGGGAGCAGCTCCGCAGGGAGGACTCGTGCAGTTCTTGCAATGGCCGCATGAGGCCACGGCGGTGACATAACCCGCACCGGTCCAAGCGTGACCTGTCTTTCAGGTGGCATAAACTGACCTCGTGCATGCAGGCCAATGCAGCCAGAGGTACGCTTGTTCGGGCAGTCAGCGCTGGAGACCTGGCGACTTGTAAACTGCCACTCATCTGCAAATCAATCTGCACCAGGGATACCTGAGCTTCAGGCAATGATCGCACCTGCGCAGTGCGAGCACGGGAAGCTGGCACTCCAGCCGGCCTTGACATTCAAGGGCAGTCACATCCGCATGGCACTGGAAATACATCCGAACGAGTTGGCGACATGCCAATTCGCACATTCTGAGCTTGGACCTGCAAGGCAAACTATTTCTGGGACGGTTTGCTTCTCAGCCAGCCCAAGCTGGGCCGCGGACCTGCATAGGTAACAGGATGATTTCTCGGGTCCACAAGGGCCCGGAAGGTTTGCTTGATTCTGGGTATCCCTGGGGCCAAGTCTGGGGCCTACCGCGGGAACAGAATGCCTTTGCGAGACGTATGTCCTGTTCGGCAACATGTGCTCCTGAGCTCTAAGCAGAAGCTGGCTAGAACAGCCGTCGAGCCAGCTATTGCACCAGTTTCAACTTTCAAGCTTGACATCCTGCCGAAGAAGCTCGCCAGCAGCTACCAAGCTAGGCGCAAATTTCGAGCAGAACGCAGAACTCTTTTTTGTAACCGACATCTCAGCTAAGCGCGACGCCACCACATTCACGAGAGAGGTACAGACTCGTAGAAGCCCGACGGAACAGCGCTGGAGCGCAGGCACACCTCCTCACATCTCGCCAGCCTTCATCATGGGTGGAAGGGTTCCACCTGTGCCTGCTTCTGGCCCAGCATGGCCTCCACAAAGCCATTGCAAAGCCATGTCTTGTTAACAAAACCCCGCGAGCACTGGAGGGCTCGCGATGCGTCGCAAGGAGGTTGGTACCCGAAGACTGAACCAAGCAACACACTTTATTTTAATCTTCTGGTGTGTGGATTCAGCCGCCATGGGTTGACGTGGACTGCATGATATATTGTGTGGCAGAACGTGATCACGTCACGACAATTCATCACGTTAGCATGAAGGAGGTCTCCAAGGTCGTGCAAAGCTCTGATGATGTTTCGCCGTCTATGGACCAAGAATGGTATGGCATTTCCAGAAACTCTCTGCCAGTGATGGTATGATGTCAAGCAACCAAACTGACAAACAATCAAGGTCTCATGGCAAGCAGTGCCCATACACTGCCTGGATTTCTGTTCAGTCAGGATCCGCACCTCCTGCTACCTTCGAAAAACCAATGAAATGTTCAGCAGTGTTCTACAGACCTACACACGTACATGTACGCACACGTGTGTTTTCATGGACAAGGTAGGAGCGGATTCATGTGTATCACGTTGGTACGTCGCAGGCCTGCTGCGATGCATGAAGAGATTCTCCTGCGTGTAGCCGGTTCATACATCTCGAGACCGCTGTCGAATCCTGGGAGTGCTGTCATCGCACTCAACCGTCATGGCAGCAATTTAGAGATAGCCAGGGAACGGTGTTGATGTTCTAAGAGCTTGAAGACGAGCTCGAAGAATCTCAAAGAACGGGGCAATGATATTTAGAGCTGAAGATGTTCACGTCATACCACCGAGGGCCGCTCCCTTCTGCTTCTTCGTCTCAGTATGTGCATATATGTGCAATTTTGACAAGGTGAACATTGATTGGCAAACCGACGAAGTGCGACGTATTCGGATGACATCTACATCCGAAATGCAGCTGAGGCGTGAATGCTGAGGTGGTGACTTTCTTCTTGTGTTTCTTCTTTTTCTTCTTCTTAGGGTCCTGACCCAGGCAGGGTGATGCAATAAAAACCGTTCAAGCAATGACTTGTCGATCTAAATGCTTGGCGGCTACCAGAAAAGTCCTACTTGCGACTCGAGATTTCCTTCCTTTCTTCCTGGCTCACATGCGCGGGCACCTTCTTCGCCTTCTTCTCTTTCTTCGTACCTGTCTTCTTCTTTGTCTTCTGCTTGCCTCTACACAAATTGCGGAATGCATACAAGACACCTACTGGCGACAGTAACTGCACACTATCATCGACAGCACCTTCGTTGGCGTCTGAAGCTTGATGCTCATCATCATCGCTGGGAGCATCGATGAATTGGTAGAGCTTCCCATCCAACCCCACGCGCGCTTTCTTGCTTCTGTCACGCTCCTCCTGTTGAAGATCTTTCTTCCGAAAGCTTCCAGCCGGAGCTTCCGGGTTCACCTGACCAAACACGGCTCCAGAAAATCACAAGACATGCCTACTCAGAGTCTACTCTTTGACGCCGTGGTCCTCGTGATCAGAATCCTCGCGGTAGGCCAGTGACTCCAGGCTCTCCTTGAAGAGGCCAGCCTTCTCGGGACATCTGCGCAGACTCTCTTTGACTCTCGCGCTACTGCCCGCAAGCCAGCTCTGAAAAGGCACCTTGCTGCCCTTTGCTCGGATCTGCACCCCTTCTTTGGAGGCTTTGGAGGCTTTAGAGGCTTTTGGCGAGTCTGCATACTCGCCGAGGGCAATGCCAGTGACAGCTCCGTGTGTTCGCCCATTCCCAGAGGAGCGAGAGGTCTTGCGTGGAGCTTCGGAGACGCCGTCCTCGATTTCTTGCTGAATTCGAAGCACAGCACGGGCAGACTCCGAAAGTTCATCATCATCTCGATCGGAGGAAGACGACATTTGAGCACTTTAGCTCAACTCGCTAGAGCCCTTCATGCCACTATCCCGGCTCTTGAGCACCAACAAATGCTTGCAATATTGATCACGGGCCGTGAACTGCTGACCGAGGAACACGTGAATACTCGGCCAAGCGATTTACACATGTCCGACTTGCGCAGTTCTGCAATGAGGCCGCCAGTTCCTGAATCTGACACTCGGCTGGTCTTGCGCGAAGGCATCTTGCCATCGACGATTGGATTAGACTCTGTCGACTGCTGCGCTTGACCAGTTGAGCATCCTTCAGGAAGATGGTGTCTCAGCACTGCTCGAATTGGTGAGACACGCAACTGTGCAAGGATCACGATGCAAAGACAATCTTGAATCACAGTCTTGTTGCCTTCTTGCCACGTTGGCGACGACCCTCGAACAGGAAGCGCAGTTGTGCGCGACGTCTTGCTTGCGTCGAGTATGTTGACGAATTAAAGCAGTGCAGGCTGTGCCGGCTCAGTTACCACGTTCCGAGCCGGTTGTACCAAATTGGACACCAGTTGGAACCAAACCAGGTGGAGAGGTGGTGAAGTCCAAATATGAAATGAGGGACTGCACAAAACGAGGACCCCACCCTCCGCCACATGGGGAAATGCCATCTCGGCTGAGAGGTTCCCTTCAAGCTGGTGCAACTTTGAGGGGGGCTTCTAGGAGCGCTCCGGCTGGCATGCTCCGAAAAACTCTAGTCTCAAGAACGCAATGGCGAGCTAGTCTAGGTGAGACCGTAAGTGCGAACACAACACAAGAAGACTTTTGCATAATGTTTTTTGACAGAGGGTTCGCACAAGCGGAGAACACAATTCAGACAATTCAAGTACTCATGATGAGGTGCATGCCGACGTGCCTGGTGCCCTGCCAGGAGCGGCTGAGACAATCGGTATAGGATGTACAAGATGCCTGTAGCAGTATTGCGCCTTCGTCAGCTGGTGCTGCCCCCTCTCCTTGGCCCGCTCGCCGGCCCGGATGAGTTCCCAATACAGTTCCAGGGGGATGGTCGTCGTCTTGTCGATGTGGACCTATCGCATGTGCCATGTAATGGCAGGTGCACACATGTACACACCCGAGAATGCTTCAGCTTCTACAGGACTTTCGTAAGCCTCTCGACGGCTTTGCTTTTGAAGCAGCGTCGGTGCCTTTGGGTCGGAAAGGCCTCTCATTCTGCGACAGTTCACATCATTGACTCATACGACTGTCAGAACGCGAAGCTGTCACGAGAAGGCAAAGGTGGCCTGTCTTTGCCTTTGCAGGTGGAACTTGCTTGTCCACAGGCGTCTCAGCTGGAGCTCCATAGCCAGCACACATACACATGAACCTGTCACGGCGTAGAACGGACAGAAACAGTCAGGCATGTCGATCTGTGCAACATCTGTGCTTCCAGCTTCCGGCCTCGACAAAAAAGGTGCCAAGATCATGTTGGCAAACAATTCACTACCCTTTACCACCCTCCCAACTTGACCCACAACTTGACGGATGCAATGCTGTACAGGATACAAACAGTTCGAGGTGAAAGTCAGGTACGGGCATTGCATCTGTCTCTCACCCGGCCTCGTTTTTGCACATGTGGGGCACAGAATCCGCCACTGCAGACTCTGCCCAAGGTCTATACACTTACGCGCTTGCCACAGACGACAAAGGTTGCAGATCCAGCATCCCTCTGCGACCGCTGAACTCCCAAGTAGAGTGGAAAACATGGGTCGCAAGAAGCACCGAGCGCCTCAAGAAATTCAAAAGTCCTGGAGGACGCCGTCTTTCCATACTACGCTAATCCCACGGACCATCTGAGCTCAACTTACTCAGCAAGATCGGACAGCAGGTTGGCCTGCATGGAGTTTCTGCGCACAGATGGTGCGTTTCGAGACTCATACTCCGGATTATCCCACGCGGCTTCAACATACACAGAGACATATTCACCTCCCCTCTGCAGATGTGAGGCTCCCACGAGCCTAAAGCTTTGAAGCTGGCAGCAGCTCGATCTCAGCATGCACAGGGACTTGCACGTTCGAATGCATGTTCGTCACACGTAGGGCACTTGCGATTGTCGCATTGGCTGTTCCACCACCCTCGCAGATGGCGAGCAGCCCAAATCGGCCCTGCCGCGGAGGCAAGTGAACAAGATTGAACAAGTCACTGCGACTCGCAACCTTCGTCGCTTGACCCTGGCCTGCCGACGCCGCAGTTCATGCACCAGGGTCGTCATCAACTTGGCACCAGTTCCTGCAGAGCGCGGAGATTTACTCGCGTCTGTGCCAGAGCTCGAAGCTTGACAGTTTCAAGCAGTACCCGTGGAAATTGTCCATCTAGGAGGTATTGGCCTAAAGCCTGTCGGCCGCACCTCCAAGCGGATGGCCCAGTGCCATGGCCCCCCCGTTCACCTTCAAATGAGCATAGCATCGCGTCGCTACGTGCTTCACTTCACTGTCTTCGGCCCTTGCACTCCTGGAGCTCCTTGCCTTTGCGACTGTGACAAAGAGGCCCCGGCATTCAGCTTCTGGAAGTCAGCACCCAGCGCCTGCATCCGCAATCAAAAGATCTTGTGTGTCAGACGCACACTCGTGCACTGTGGCTTCCTCACTCCAACATAACGCGAGCCACCACCTTTGGATCTACGACGCCAGAGCCAGCACAAGCGTCGAACACGAAATTAGCCGCATAATCCGAGACGAGTGTTTCGTGATAGGAAGCTCATCCAAAAATGCCTGATCTGCTTCAGTACAGCTTCCAGTTGAGTCCGTGTAGCAGTGGAACAGAAGCCAGGAAGTGACATCGCAAAGACAGCTATGGCTCCCTAGTCTCGCAGATCGAAACATTTTCCGGTGGAATTTCCTTGGGATCAGATCTGACTTTGCGAATACGATCTGTCATGAAGTGTCTGGGGTGCAAGCCTTGGTTTTCGCCATCATCACGAAAACATCGTCGAACAATGGCCGAAAATGCTGAAACCCACCCCAGCGGCATGCCATGTTCATCGGTAAATATGCAATGTAGTGTGGTGTGTGAATGATTGAGAAGGCAGATTGTGTGAAACCATCCGCAGCCCATGCCATCATGGTGATATGACTGATATGACTGCAACAACTGGTGCCGTCAAAATCAAAGTGAAATTGTTGAAACTTACTCTGTCACTGCCGAAGCACACCAAATCATGAAAATGGGGAATGATGCTGAAATTGAGATTGTTCAGAGGGGTACAAGTCACCACCCGCTTCGAATACCAGACTTGCATGCCTCAGAAAGTGCACACCAGAACAGATCGCTCTTTCCCTGCCTTGCACCATGCTAGCGGCACTGATGCGAAGGCTTCGTTGACCTATGGCGGAGAAGACGATTCCGGTCTTATCGAGGCAGGTGATGCACTGTTACAGCAGATCCGCAGCCTCATAAACGTCCACGTCCTGAATCTTCATGTTGGCCTGTCGACACGCAGCGAACATACAATCACAGCCTTTTCGTGGTCTTGCGAAGTCAACAGAAACCAGATGCGACTTCGCTGCCAGAACCGGCAAGTGCAGACATGTCTTTTGTGCCTGCAAGGCGAGTCCCGCAGGCTAGCGGGTTGTTTGTGGTCGAAGGTTGGGTGTCGCCGAACATCCACACTTTAGGCGATTGCCAGCAGAATCCGTGTAAGGTTCTTCATCCGGGGGTCGCCAGCCGGCCAGCCAGGCCCACAGACTGCAGGACTTGCAGAGAGCCGTCGTCTGCTGTGCTTCCCAGCGTGTGGTTTGTTGTTGAAGCATTGGAGGTTTGGTGCCCTGGTCTGACGGTGTAGCAAACATCAGCAAACATCCAGTCCCAAAGACGTGCTACGCCTTCTGCAAGGCCTTCTGTGTTGCTGGGATCGGCCTCAAAGCTGCAGTGCGCGCCAGACATCTCCACACACAATACGGGCAATACCCAATCACATCCACTTGTGATATCGGAGCCGGGCGCTTCCAGCATTATCACGGGATCAGCTGCGGCCTCTTGAAAAGCTCTAAGCAAAGTAAGACCGCACACCTCTTGGAATAAGACCTGGGAACTGGGTGGGAACTTGTAAACTTGAATGTTCGGAAGCATGATGACGCAGCCGTATCATTCATCGTGCACCGAGGCCCCTGCGAGAGCCAACGAATGTATCCTGCACATCTACCAAGTTTTCGATGCTCTACGACGCATGCAGTGGAACTTCTACATCCTGCCACATGGCACTCCTTGCCAACGGCTGGACACCGAGTTTTGCTAGTCCACGCCTGATGGCTCAGCAAAGCAATTGATCCCGCATGCTCGACATGGGGAGACACTCCAGAAGGCTCGTACGCAAGTCTCGTTGAACAGTACAGGGAAGAGCTACACCGATGTGCGTGAACTGTATCAAACTTGAAACGTTCTCGGGAACCCAAGCTCTGCACAGCGAAAGGCCAGCCCATGCGGTGTGTGTCTGAACCAACTGCCTCTGGAGAAGCTCTTGGACCCAGGCTCGTTGCAAATCAATACGGCAGCAGCACCGTCGCCTTGACACTCTGCAGACCCGTGCTCCAGACCCCGGTCACTGTCACTCGTTTTTTGTCAGCCACACGACTGTGAGCTTCCAAGAACACGCAGACACGCAGACTGAAGACCCGCGTCCAAGAAGCGGACAGATTTGTGACGAGGATGCAGGGGTAAGGACACCATTCGGAAACATTGCCTGTGCAGAGTTTATATTTCGGTCAGTAACATGCCGCAGGTCTGCTGTTTGGCTTGCCTTGAGCTTTGCCACGCTCTCCACTGTCACGCCTTCCCTGATGCCCTCATCCTGCGCAGGTGCTGCAAACAGGGGATCTCTGAGTTGGATACACATCAGGCCTGGGTATGCATGCCTTCGGATTGGCCTTCCTTTCCTTACTTCTCAAGCACTCGAACGATGCAATTTTGGAGCTTGGGAAGCGTCCAGGGCAGAGCTGAGACGAAGAATGCATGACCAGTTTGCCGAAACCCTGACCTGCTACCTGAAAAAACCTCGCCTTGGCCGGCACTAGCCCCGGGGCGAACAGGTTTCTTTAAAAGTCGTCCTTCACTCTTCGCCATGTTGACTTTTACTGTTTGCTGCCAGGCCGCGCTTGACTGGTAGAGGGACGATCTCGTCCGCAAACTTGCCAGCCTCGGGCTCTTAACGTCTCTTACCACTGGCGCAGGGAAAGGCCTGAATGCAATGCTGGTGTGCAGCCGGTTGGAGTCTCTCCGGTGCTGTCGTGCAGCCTGCGTAGACGTCACTGCTCTTTGCTGCGAGATAGCCGCGAACTTGTCCACATCCTGGAGAAAAACGGCCCGACAACGCTCAACCTCTGCGTGATGTCCTTCCTCACACACTGTCTAGCGAGATGATGGATGTCTCGTCCTGCCTCACGGCTCAGTCCATACTTTTTCGCCAAAAGCTCTGCACCTCCAAATTGAGAGAAAGCCTGAACAGGCGTTGGCAGAGCATCAGAATCATTCAGGATGGGTCGTGCACAGCTTTCCATCACTTTTCCATCACAATCGAGCGTGCCTGCGAGGACATCTGAAACTGCTCGAAGGCCTCCGGCCATGAACACTTCCAGACCGATGCAATGTCAGCCAGAAAACCAGACTCCGAGGGGCCAGATTAGGCGAGCTGCCAGGCTTTGCTCGCTTTGCTCCCGGCATTGAGGAAGAACCCGAACAAAGGCATCGCTCTGCTACAAGTTTGACTGGCAGCAAACCTAGTAAAAGCCGTCGCGAGACTACTTCACGGAAATGCAGTTGAGAGAACTGCTGCAACTGTGGCCCAGGGAATGATACCAAGCACTAGCGAGTCTACGAACAACCGTTGTGCTGCAGAACATACCAGCACTAGCGCCGGCCACCGACCCCGCCCGACAGGAACACTGTAGTGCGCGTACCAGTGTCGAGAAAACCCAGCCTTCATTTTCTCGGCATATTTCTCCATGGTGGCATCGCTCATGGGATTGCCGTGCCCGGCCTCACGTTCTGCTTCAACCGTACGATCGGCATTGCAACCTTAAAGACTGTGTGAAGGCCTTGAGACCATCAATGATAGAAGCACCGATTGGAACCTGTGACCTTCGCAGTTTAGGCGACTGCCGCCCGGAGTTTTGCATGCACAGCGATGCATTCTCAGACTTGCACATGACCTCCACGCCGCCAGCGATGCCTTGGTGCACGACCCACCCACAGAAGCTCCTTCTCGAAGCGAAGGTTGAGACAAGCCGCAGCAGTCGTGCACACCACTCATCACCGCCTGCGCGGCTGCATGGATGGCCTGCAAAGCATGACTGGAGAACGGCTCAGGCTGCAGAGGAAATCTCCACAAAAATCCTGAAAACAGCTGCAAAGCAGGATCCCGAAATGGGTAGAATGTACCTGCCTTAGTAGCAACCTCCAACCTGCTGTGTGCTCGTCCCAAGACTACACAAGCATGCCGTCAGTGGTCAGATTTCGATTTCAGCGAGGCAATCGGTTTCGGCGTCCTGCTGTGAGGAGCCACACTGCCTGTCGACGGACTGGCCAGGTACCTGCAGTGACCATGGAAACCTTGCAGTCTTGGCCCACCTACAGCCTCAGAGAACGCAAATCGCATCCAAGCAAATGTGAGGCCCCGGCACTCTCTGGCAAGTGTCGAGAGGAAAGCACAACACCACGCCCAATGTTGCCAGACTGGTACGCAGTCACTTTGCGCAGTGCACCGAGAACCATCCGGCCAAGCTGCACCTGGCCTGCGCACCAACCTGGCTGACACAGCCGAAGATGACGTCTTCCACCTGATATCATCAACAGCTGCGACACTTGATCCGTTCGAAAATCCAAAATGCATACCTCATGCATGTCTTTGGGGTCCAAAGATGTCGAGTTTGTTCCCAGTTTTGCAGGGTCACACTCCGGGAAGGTAGAAGAACGGCTGGTAGATTAGTATGCGAACATAGTAAATCCGAGACAGAAGCACAACAAAGACGTCGAGGCTTCAGTAGACCCAGCTACAGATATTTCACGAATTTGCCACTGGCATAGCGCAGTCAACTTGCTGTAACAGGGCGCCAGTGCTCCGAAGCGTTCCCTGAGAGTGGTTTCAAAACACATCCAAATGTGGCATCCTAATGCTGATATACATACGATCGTGGGAGACAAAACAGGTTCTGCGTTTAGTTTGAGTTTCTTCTAAAAAGGAGCTGTAGCTTGTGGAGAGCAGAGGAGGATGCCAGTTGATAAAAGCCCGAGACATTTGTCGATGTCGGCAGCTTTGGCTGCGGTGCACCAGAGCACCGCAGCAGCGAGTGATTTTAGGGAAGATGATGCAAGCGTCATAGGACAGTTGGACGCAGGTGTTCCCAAGTCGCCTTTCCAACTTACAAAAGTTGCACAACAAGATGTAGACGCATGTCCTTCCATCGTTCATGTTGTGTGGGTCGTCAGGTTCCATGTGAAGTTTGAAGCCAACCAAGCTTTAGTGGCATCTGGTGTGGCAAGGCCGAACCGTCTCCATGCATTGATGCTGGAAAAAGACGGGCATCAACGTCTGTGGTCAGATGTAGGCACAAACCCTGAAACAGCTTTGACATCAACGTCCAGTCCAATCGCCTCCGCTGCCTTCACCTTGGTGCGCTCGATCAAAGCATCGCAGACCGTGGCACCGAGCTCTGCAGGATGGTAGCCTGGCAGTGTTTAACGACTCAAAAAGCCTGCCATGAGGCGCGCCTCCAGGACCTGAAAGCCGGCCGTTTCGCTTGCCGCCAGCAGTCCTTTCAAGACGGAAATTTTCACTGCATGTTGGCACAGGTAGCAGTTGGCGCTCCTGCAAGCATCAACAATGTAGGCGGTGAATGGCTTGAAGTCCGTCATTGCACTCGCCAAGCACGCGAAGCTACGAGCAAAGCTGGCAGACAAGCTTTCTGACATCCGCTGAGGCAAGCGGGATTGCACAGCATAGCTGCATTGGAACCCGGCCCTGCTTTCCCTCCGATGAATCGATGACACTTTCGATCAGCCGACCAACAACATGATCGACAGCCTATCTGTACAGACGGCATGTGTCGACTGCTGCAGGGTTCAGGAACGGGGCTGCAAAAGCTGTTAAATGTTAAAACCATGCTCTGTAGCACTGTTCAGGCCTACTTCTTGTAGGTCCTGGATAAACGAAGCGAGTTCCTTTGCTGAAGGGGGACCTGACTAAGTTGTGACTCAACCCCCGACTTCTGATCTCCCACTTGCGCCAGCATGTATGAGGGGCGCAGGCTGTTGGACAAGCGCCGACTGTTGCGGTCACGGGCCGTCAAGGCAGGATTTCGATCAATAGAAGGAGGCTTGTACTTATCCCACAGCCGGCCAGCAACTATCTTCACGAGATCAAGAAGCAGAAGCCAAGCAATATCGTACAGCCAGATGCCTAAAACATCCATGGGCTCCAGCTTGTCTACCAGGCCGGTGGGAGCCCACAGGCACCAAATGTTGATCAGGACCTGCCCCAGCGCAGTGGACAATGCCAATTGCCATGCCGGCATGCACGAAAAGAAGAATCCAACCGTGCGTGCCGAGAAGATCAGAATTGCCGATGAGTTGGAGATCTGCAGGAAAATGGTGGTCTCCATGTACTTGTCCATTTCGGTACCAGCCGCAGCAGCGTCCACACTTGCGAAGTACCCGTCTGCGAATCTGTCCGAGAGAAAGTAATGGCCACAAGACACCAGCAACATCGTTTGAGCAAACATGAGAATGCCCATTGAGTAGCTTTGCAACAGTAGTCCCAGCACAGTGGGAGTCTCGGGTCTGTGTCCTGCGATCTGGTGGTCGTAAGCAATCGTCACAATCTGCAGGTCATGGAAGAGCGCGAGCAAGATGATGTAAAGAGCCTTGAAACGGAGGTCAAAGAAAATGGCCAGGGCGGCCAAGAAGAACACCACTTGCACTGTAATGCAGATGCGATAAATCACATAAGACTTCAACCTCTTGAAGATACGTCTCGAGATCTGGATGGCTGTGTAGATTGGCGAAAGACCGTCTCTTGTCAGGACTATGTCACCAGCAGATTTCGCAGCGTCAGTGGCTCCGTGCACCGCGATGCCAATCTGTGCCTGGAAGCCACGAGGCTTTCGTAAGCTTTGATTCAGCTTGCCACAGAAAGCATAAGAAAGTAAATGTGTGCCCGAATGCTTCTCTGTAGACCTACCGTACTCACCTATAAGCATACGGACATATACAGATGGACAGATGGCTAGCTCGCTCACTAGCTAGTTAGCTAGCAGGTACACAAATAGATAGATAGCTAGCTAGCTAGCTAGCTAGCTAGCTAGCTAGCTAGGTAGGTAGGTAGGTAGGTAGGTAGGTAGAGGTAGGTAGGGAGGTAAGGTGGGAGATAGGTAGGCAGGTAGATAGGTAGATAGGTAGATAGGTAGATAGGTAGGTAGCTAGATAGGTAGACAGGTAAGCTCATAGACAGATAGACTGATAGGCTGTTAGACAGACAATGATAGACAGATAGCTAGATAGATGGTGACCGATAGACCAATATGGATGGATGGATGGATGGATGGATGGATGGACGGATGGACGGATGGACGGATGGCTGGCTGGCTGGCTGGCTGGCTG